CTAAAATCAATGGAAAAATATCCTTGGGTGAGGATTTTAAAAGAAAAAGAAGAAAGAACAGAATTAGAGTGATGTGGGCGGCACACTAAGGGAGCCTGCTCGATGGCAGAGCGTCCGCACTCGGTGTCGGGCGAGGGGGCTGAGTGGGCCTGAGAGGGGCCATCCAGGAGTGAGACCCGCTCCGCCACCGACAGGGCCCTCGGCCGGGGACAGGCACAGCGAGGGCTCTTCTGAAAGACGATGGAGCCTGCTCCTCACCTTCCTTCCTTCTTTCCATCCTCTGTCTTCCTCTGGGAATAGTGAGTGGAATCAAGCTCATATGCTTCTTAAGGACCTCAAAGTACACGTGATAGATGCTGTCAGGACGACGGGTGCTGAGGGCATGGGGCTTGGGAAGGCAGCAGCCCCATCTGAGCCCGGTGCTCTGCGGGCGGGGGGAGGGGGAGGATGCAGGTTCTGGGGAGGGCAGTGGGTGGAGAGCGGGGGAGCAGTGTTCTGCGGTTGGCTCGCTCTGCATTAGGAGAAGCACACAGGGACAAAGAGACTGCCAGGTGCTAAAATCCAACCACCACGGCAACTCTAACAGTAGCAGCATCTTTTCTGTAGGCTCATCAGTAACTTCACTTAATTCTTCCCTGTGACCCTGCGCACCTGCTCCCATTGCACAGCTAAGGAAAGGGGAGCTAACTCGTCTGACATCAGAGAGCTGGGAGGGGTGTTTGTTGTTTGGCTGTTGATCCCGTGCTTTTTTAAAAATTTGACAAAATTCTAACCTACAGAACAGCACAGAGAAAAGTGTTATAACCCTAATATACTTTTTAAAGGCATACAGTGCTGCAGGGAAAGTTTTCTTTTTCCTCCTCAGAGATAACCAGTACATATTCTTCCTGGCAGTCCTTATTCATCTGTCTTTTCTCCACAATTCGTAGTTAGTGTAGAAATACACATATAAGTGGAAGAACTGTCAGGGCTTGGAGACAGGAGGTGGACACGGTGACTGCCACGTTCTAACACCAGCTGGCGTTAGAGGCTTGTCCTGGGCCCACGCTCCAGCACTTACCTGTGTCCGCACACCTGATGCTGTGGCGGCCCTGGCAGGTGGACACCACAACGATCTGTTTTAAAGGTCGTAGATGAAGCTTCAGAAGGCTATGTTATACCCATGTCTTACATCTGGTGAGTGTGGAGCGGAAAACTCAGGCAGCCTGACTCTGTGCTTTAAGCCATGTTTTTCTTTATTTTATTTTTCCATCCCCATTAGTCCCCTAGGCCCTGTTCCACCTCAAGGCCATGTTTTCCTTTTAGCTTCACCCTAAGAGAGTCGTGGTCTCCTGGGTGAGAAACGGTGGCGGCTTCATTACAGAAAGGGACGGTCTTTGCAGGGCATAGCAACCTGCCTGTGCTTTTAAGATGAAGAAACCAAGTCGAGGACCCAGGAAGTGACCTCATTTCCCCAGAGCTGAGTTTCTTCCTGTTGGAGTCGATGCTCAGGGACCCAGCTTTAACCTTGCTCTTTACCCAAGGACCATGTAAATCCCACTCAATAAGTTTCAAAATTTTTTATTTACAAAAATAAAAATCATGGTTAGGCCCTTGGTCTTCTGATTCAGAGCTCCTTAAATAACGCTGTTTTCCTTCGGTTGCCTTGCCTTGGAGATGTTTAATGAGAGGTGATGATCCCCAGAGTTAGAATGGGTGACAGTTTGAACATTTGAGGACAGTTCTCCACTACAAAGGAAAACAGAACTACAGCATTTGGCCAAATAATGCCTCAAAAATATTATTCATGTGAGGGTTTCGCTCCTGGCCCCTTTCTCTGCCTCACTGAAGTCCTGGGAAGCTTGCCCAGGTGTATTGTTGCTTGGGTCTGGGAGTTTTTGAGCCATAAAGTAGACAAATTCCTATCAGATTCTCGATATAAATTCAAGTACGCTTTCATTTCTGTAAGGTAGATGGCATTCTGGGACTGGTAGTTCAAAAAATCAGTCATAGTCTTGCCTTAAAACCAAGGAAAACCTTTTTCTTCTAGCTTTTAGAAACATTTTTAACGCCGCCTGCTCAAGCACTTGAGCCTGCCTCTGTGTCTTGATGTTACTAGGACCTCCTCAAAGCAATTACTCCCTGCATCTCACCAAAGTCAGGTCAATGTAAATGGATTAGAGGAAACACTTTTCTTAATGGAAATTGGAGCTGCATTGACTGCCGTGAATGAATCAGGAGTGGAGAGAGGATCTTCACATGATAATCCTTAAGCCCACTCCAGGCCCAGCCTGTGACCCTCGCGTCACGCAGAAAAAGATCAGTGTAATTCCTAGAGCGTCAGGAAGGACCTGCCCCCTCCTGGGCCTTCTGAACCTTCGTAAAACCTTTGAAAACACCAGAGAGCAGCAGCACAGCACCTACACATGTGTGTGTATATGCATATAGTCTGTTCACAGGACCACTCGAATGCATTAGCTACCATTTGTAAAGCTGCTTGCTCTGTACACACTCTCTCATTCACCTAAAAAGAGCCTCCTGGGGGTGGCTATCCCCGTTTTGCAGACAGGAACTGAAGCGCTGGGAGTTGGGAAGTGTAGGTAGTGACTCAGCTGCAGAGCCTGAGCCTCTAAGTCACTGGATAGGTGATCAACGGCTGATCGGATAAAAGATTCAAAGTTACTACCTAACAAATATTAAAGATACAACAATTTTAATGTGGACTAAACCGAGGCCCAAGTACAGATGCATGTAAAATCAAATTTCATTAAAGTCATACCAATATTTACAGGATCCGGTGCCCGCAGAATAAATGAACATGACTAATAGGTTATGTAGGGTGGCGAGGTCATAGGCCCTGCACGCCTCCCCTCCCCTGGGAGACAGAAAGGCTCCTGTCCATCGAGGTCTGCAGGTGACTTTTTCGGACCACCTGGGACTGGAGCCTGCAAGGAAGCCCCCATGTCTGTCAATAAGCCCCCTTGTGCCAGAAATGGCCTGGCGGAGAGAGGCACAATGAGGAATTAGAAATTAAATGGACTATTCAGGATTGTCTGAAATTAAGAAAGGGACTCAGCCATAGCTGCATTTCTATTGTTTGGTGGTGGTATATAATTTTATTGTTTGGTGGTGGTATATAATTTCCCTCTCAAATGCTTCCATATGTGTTGTTTCCAATTAATAATCAAGAATCAGGTGCAGTACTGAGTGATGGTTTCTGGGTCTTAAATAGCAATGCTGGACAACCAAAATGGATCTGGGTAAAGACCAGAACTCGGCGTTTCAGCACCCCTCTCAGTGCCCGGGCTGCTGTGCGGCACAGTGGGACCATCGAAGCTGGGCACAGGCCGGATTGCTTCTGTGCTGGAGGGAGTGTAAGGCGGCCTCGCGGGGAGGGCTGGTATTCTAGTGTCATCAGGGGCGCCTGTGTTTCCAGGGGCGGCTTTCACTCCTTCCGGTTTCTGGCAAGATTCCTCCCTGCTGATGTCTCTTGTCGTTAAGGTAGACTGGAATGC